TCTTGCTTGAACATCAAACAGAATGAAACAGAAATGGGTTTCTTCTTTATTTTATTCCTTAAAATGTGCGCTAGATAACAATCTAGCGCTGAGGTCGCTAGTTATCTTTTTCTCTCATCTTAATGTTTGTTCTTTCAATTCCTGTAAGTCCTTTCTGTTTCCATCGTTTAGAGAGCTGGTCTGCTTACCTTAACCTTACTCTTGCTTTTTTAACGATGGAAAAATTGAGAATATCATATAAAGCTGAGAGCAAGGCATCTTCTTTTTTCTTTAGTCATAATTTAACTGGCCATTTTTCTCTTACGTGTACTTTCACAAAATTATGATTACTGTTGGATTCTAGAAACTACTGTTTTAAAATGAGAATAATGCACATTAGATATGACATGGGTGCAGAGTATCTCTGAAAGTGACAGTGGCCAAAAAAATGTTGTGATAATTTCATGCAGGTGTCAAAGCAGAATAATCTCTCTCTACCAGTTCAAATTTGGGTAGAAAGATTTCGACAAGTTAACTTTGTATTGGCAAACTCAGATAATGTCTGTCTATGTCTCTTTGGCTTTTTGCTCGGTTAAGTATCCTTTGCGTCTTGGAATCTAAAAGAATAAAACTGGTATAAACTCTGTATCGTGTGAATGTTAAGCTATAGGCAGATAATTTGGTTAATTTTACGAATAGGCGATCAGTTGCCTGGGCTTGATCTGAATGTAATTTGAACACTGGGAGATCTGACACTGCATAGTCTCGGTATTAGACCATGGTTTCAAAACTGCTGACGTTCAGCTATGTAGTATTTTTCAAATTGCTCATTTGTCAAATAGGGGCAGTATTTTTGGAAATGGATCTACTGTAAAGCTTTATGTAGCTTGCTGAGTTTTACTTTAAGCCCTTTCATAGTTATTTACTCTGGGTCTTCTCTAGTTAGCGAAGCTAAGTACATTTTTGTCAGTGACAGTTTAGAGTGCTGTCCTGAATTGGCATATGTGATGAACTTTCAGTACAGTGTAAAGAGATTGAGCTGCAGAGCTTACTATTTTTAATAAGCAGCAGCTAAATTATGATAACTTGCACACAATATTGTAACTCACTTAGTTCAGGATACTCGGTGTATGTGTTAAAGGGTCGGTACTTGCTGCAGATCAGCCTTGTGAATAAATTCGGGCCTGAGTGCACATGCGCACCCAACAGTGTAATATATTGCAGTCTTTATTTGGCTGTTAAAATTAACATTGACAAATTTCATGAAAACTAATACCAGAGCTTACGATAAATGATACTTTCACCTAGTCCGCTACACTGTGGACCGAGTAGATCATGTAACTCCAGGGTTGACATGAATGGAAAGGCAGAAGCAGAAAATGAGAACAGATTTTTATTCTCGTGTAAAATAGTCGTCTTGCAGTATTGCTTATTCTTCAGTTGCTGTCAAGTAACACTAGAGGGAAATTGGAGTTAAATTTGATCTTAAAAGTAAAATAGGCTAGTCTGCTCACTCCTCATATCTCATTTGAAAACAGATTCTGTAAATGAGGAAGGAGCGAGAAGGTTTTGAGGCCTGTAAAATGTCCTGGAGTCTTGCAGAGAGTGTGGAATATACTTCTGTTACCTTGCTTTTAGTAATTCAGATCCTTGAAATGCGTTCCACTTATTGGGTACTCTGTCACCGTATAGATTATCAGCTACTTTCTATCGAGACACTTTCAGACCAAATTTTCCAAACACTTAACATTTCTTAGTTTTATGAGACTTTTGTTTGCATTCATTTTTGCTCTTTTCTTTCCTATACTCTGTTGTAGGGAGACTTCACTCACCATACCCTCTCTGCTTTATTCATATCTTCTGCTTTGAGACCTAGAACTTGTCATTTGTACTCTGGTTTGTAGTGTCCGAGACTAAATTTACTGACCTAAGACTGATTAAATCTGGAGGTAAAATTTTTCAAGTGTAACACATTTTCTGAGGAGGCCTTTGTAGCTCTCCCTCTTTCATGTGAACAGATAGCTAACTGATGTCATCTGCCAGGTTGAGAATACCTGCGATCCACCCCTCACAGGCTGAAGAACACATCAGTTTCTAACTGCTGACAGGGATTAAAAAAAAAAAGCTATTGCAATTCCAGGTGTCTCTTGGGCCGATACTTGTTGAAGATGGTCACCTGACAAATAGGGATGAAGAAAAGAAGAGGCATTCAATGCGTTTTTTGCCTCAGTCTTTAATAATACTGATAGACCTTGTGCTGCCCGGTTCCCTGAGTGGGAGGACTGTGACTGTGGGAGCAGCGACTCTCCACTTCTGCACACTGAAATTGTAAGGGATCAGCTGTATCAGCTGAATGTTCAGAAGTTCATGGGGCCTGATGGGATGCATCCCAGAGTACTGAAGGAGCTAGCGGATGTTACAGCAGGACCCCTTTCAATCATCTTGGGAGTCTGGGGTTTCAAGAAAGGTGTAAGGGAAGACCCAGGAGACTATAGATGTGTTAGTCTAACCTCATTTCCTGGAAAAATTATGGAGAAGATCATACTGCGCGCTGTTGAAAGACAATTAAAGAACAATGCAATCATCAGGCACAGTCAACATGGGTTAACAAAGGGAAAGTCCTGTTCAACTAATTCGGTATCCTTCTATGATAAGGTCACCCACCTAGTGGATAAAGGGAAGGCGGTGGATGTAGTTTTTCTGGATTTTAGTAAGGCTTTTGATACTGTCCCTCACAGCATCCTTCTGGACAAGTTGTCCAGCTGTGGGATGAGCAGGTACAGAGTGCGCTGGGTGAAGAACTGGCTGAAGGGCAGAGCTCAAAGGGTTGCAGTGAATGGGGCTACATCTGGCTGGAGACCAGTCACCAGAGGTGTTCCCCAGGGTTCAGTTCTAGGGCCAATTCTGTTCAATCTTTTTATCAATGATCTGGATGCAGGAGTTGAATGCATGGTTAGTTAGTTTGCTGATGATACTAAACCGGGAGGTGCTGTTGACGCTCTCGAGGGACAAGAGGCCTTGCAGAGGGATCTAGACAGATTGGAGCATTGGGCTATGATTAATGGGATGA